AGCGTGCGCAGTGAAATAGCTCACGTTTTTATACACGCAAACCTTTGATAGATCCGGCCCTATGAGTAAATAATGCAATGACAAAAAAGATGGTGATGTAAAACAAGTAGAAAGCTGTAATTTATGGCTTTGCAGGCATCCACCTGCATTATTGCACTTTCTTTACCTTCTAACAGATTTGTGTTTTTTTTTAGCAAAGTTGTGGAATTGTAGAGCTAATGCCACAACTTTGTATGAGAGAAAAAGTGTCTAAAATATCAAGATCTCCTATTTCATCAAATGTCATTTTAATAGGGGTGTACTTTCTACTGTATGTCCCTCTGAGAACATCCACTGTGTTTTCACATTTCTTAAGATAAAGTCCTCTTAAGTGCTTCCTATTCATAATGGTCATTCTTTATCACAGATGGCTCCTCTTTTATTATGTCTCAATTTCTTTTTTATATCCAAATTCATGAAGAAACTCAAAATGTTTAATTCATCTGTTTGTTCTGGTTGGTGGAAACCCAGCTCTTCATTGGTGCATGTCATCGGCCCTCTTACTCTGTCGAAAATGAGTTGGAAGCCCTGCAGGGGATGGTAAAAGGAAAGGAGATGATTGCGAGATGAAAAGCTGTATACGTGGACAACCAATCGGCTCTTGTCTCTTGTTTAATGAATCAAACATGAAGCAAATATTGATTCTCTATAAAGGAATCTCAGCCAGTATGCATAATGAATTTCAAGCATGTATTTGATGCAAAGCTGATGTTCATTCAGCTTTGTTTTTTAATTAATTTCTGGCCTAATTTATACAAACAAAACCTCTCTCAAGTGTAAACAGGAAGCACTAATGCTCATTGTTAATTCAACATTTCTTCAAATAGCTGAGGAGAAATTAGGTGCTTCATGCATAACTTCAAAATAAATTCATTCAGAACTAATTTAAGGGAGATATTGTATAAAAGCATCCATGATCTCTTGAGCTTTTAATCTGTTTGATTTGTACCAGGTCTGTCCTTACATAGAGGACAGACGGACAGTAGTAGTTCTCGCAGTCAGGATCATGTTAACCTGTCCTGACGGGTCATTTACACACTTATTGACACTTTTCCTGATTATACTTTCTCATCACCCTTTTTCCAGAACAAAACGCATATCTAACCTATATTATATTTTGTGTCTCACAAACCATTTCTTTGTTGGTTTGGCTTTTGGTGTTGAGTCTTTCCTAATTTCAGTTTTCTGGATGTAGGCTCCAGATTTTTGTAAAGGGTTTTCCTACAATAATAGACAGTGAATCCTAAAGCAACCATTGTGTTTTTACAGAGAAACAGGCCCACAGCATGACAGATCCTCCACTATACTAAAAGGAGTTATGAAATCTTTGGCCTGGTTTTTATTCGCAGTCTCATCCATTATCTGCCCATCATATCTGAAGACATTAAGTTTAATCTTTGTCCATTCTGAGGAAAAAACATTGCTCAAGTTAAAGTCCCAGTAGATTTGGTGGTTGTATTAACTTGAGGGTAAATATTTCCCTCGTGTCTCCTAAAAAAAAAAAACAGATTGGCATGTAGAAAGTTAGTAATGGTTGATATGGCAACTGTGACCCCAAAATGCCACGCTCTGTCACAGTTCTCTGCTTTAGAGGTTTTCTCTTACCTGTCTTGCAAACTTGTGTGGGAGGGCAGGTTATACGCTGTTCCTCCTCTAATCTTGCTTCTCATGGTTCCAGGTTTCTGATTTTTTTCTGTTTCCCAACTGTGATATATTTATTTTTGTACTTCACTTAAACTTTCCATATTAATGTCCTTTTGCACCATTATTTTTTAAATTGGTTTTGTTTTCTCCTACACTTTTTACATGCAGATCACTGCTGCACTTTATAATGGTAAGTGTTCATTTCACTGTTTTAAGCTGCTTATTACATTGTTGTAAGCTGCAAGTAACATGATTTTGTTTTGTATACACTCACTGTATACAAAATGACAATAAAGTTTGTCTAAATCTATTGGTTAAGATACAATAGGACGAGGCCGTTACTTTTTCACAGGTTTTGAACC